GAGCACAGGTGGGTGCGGCCCAAACCCCTCCCCTCAAAAAAAGAAGCGAAGCCTTCCGCATGTTCCTCGGAGTGGAGCTACCACGGTGGCCGGGGCCTAGGAGAAACAAAGGGTCCCACCGGTATCCAGGAGGCACCAGTAGGGTCCCACCTCCTCAGGCTGGTCTAATCTTGCTGGGGCTCTGGGCGGGGAGGCCCAGAAGCCCGACCTAGCGCCAGCCTGTTTGTTTGCGTGAGCCGCCAGCGGTGCCAGAAGAGGGCGCTCGAGAGTCAGGCCGCGGCCGAGCGGTGGTCCCTTCCCGCCCTCAAAGGGCGCAGTAAGGAAAACAAAGTCGTTCAGATGCCAACAGCCGAACGCTTTGTTTACCGTCCTGAAGTCAGGCTGACACAGACGTTGTTCCCACCCGAATTCGTTTGGATGCTCGATTTGTCAGAAACCTGACCTGCGGGAGCCCCCTCAAGCTGGCTCCTGAGTCATTCTGCCCCGCCCCCACAGACCGCCTCAGCCGGCTTTCCACCGACCCGGCTGGGAAACCCACGTTCAACACAGCGACGCGCACGTTTATTTAAAAACAACGGCCCAGCTGGAAAACAGCAAGAACCCGGGGCGGCACTGCTCACCTACTTTGGTTCAGGGCTGCGAGCTGGAGGGAGCCTCCAAGCAATGCTCAGGGGGCCTGGGGACCATGCAGAGCCAGGATCAAACGCTAGGCCTGGGCAGGAAAGCGTTTTTGCTCTCTCTTCCCAGTCCCTGGAGTTTTCTTCCTTTTTCTAAAAAAAATTGGGGCCCTACCTCGCAGTGCTCAGGGTTTACTCATGACTGTGCAACTCGGGGGACCATCTGGGATGCCAGGGATAGAACCAGAGCTGGCCACATGCAAGGCAAGTGCCCTCCCTGCTGGACTATCACTCAGTCACCCTTCTTTCCCCTCTCTCACTGCTGTCCCTGATGGCTTCTCCTGGCGCTGGGCTCAGGGGTCCCTCCTGTGGAGCTCAGGGGACCATATAGTACCAGGGATGCAACCCAAGCTTCCTGCATGCAAAGTTTGTGCTCAGCCATTGAGCACTCTCTCTAGCCTCTAGCCGGACTCCAGGTGTCTTTAGCCCTCCAATCAAAGGAAGCTAGTTGGAAAATAACGGTGCTGATGGTAGCGAGGCCTGCACAGGTCGTCGGGAGCCCTGCTCACTCTACTATCCTCACACTTGTTGCTCCAGCTAGTTCTTGGGCCTCCCTGCTCAGGCCCTGCCCCAACAAACCCCAGGGGTTACGAAAAGGTGACTGGCTCTGGTCCCAAGCAGCTCCAAGCTAGCAGCCAAATGCATAGTTGGCCTGTTTGCAGTTTGGCAAACACAGAACACTCCTGGGCTTTGGGTTTGGTTTTTTGTTTTTTTAACTTTTGGACCACACCTGGCGGTAGTCGGGGATGACTTCTGGCAGGTTTGGAGGACCATAAGGAGAGCCAGGGATCGAGCCTGGGTCTACCTGCCCTACCTGCTATATCGTTCCGGCCCCAAGCACCCAGAGGGTTGGCTTTCTCTCCAACTCTGGTAAGCGCATGCAGAAGTTCTTGGGAAGGGACAATCCCGTGATCGTGGACACTGCAGCCTGCTCAGCGACCACCAGCTATCCCAGTCAGTGCTGACACAATGGTCCCCGGGAAGGCCCAAAGTAGTTGGCACCCTTCGCGTGGTGCAGCTCAGAGTTCTCGAGCTCTTCTGCGACCCGCATGGACACTGTCCACTGTCAACACTACCTGTCTGGCCCTGGGATCTGCCACGCTGGAGCTGAATGCTACAGTGGCTCGTCAGCTGTGCAGACTGACTTTCCTGAAACCTCTTAGGGACAAACGCTGCGCCCCCACCCTGTCGCCCTTACTTGCAATGATTTCAAAAACAATTAGATTACAATGGAAAGCTTTAAGATTTGGCTTGGCACTGGACTGAACTATGGATCATATTTGAAAATAAAACACATTTTTTGCCTGGTAAAGGAAGAAAAATGACTGGAAGATACATTTTTTGGATCCTAAACGAAATGTCAGAATATTGTAAACAAAATGGTTTCTCCTCTTTGGTCATTGCATGGCTACCACAGCGAGCAGCAGCGGGAGATCGAGTTGGAGGGGGCCCTCCCGGTACTGCTGTGGAGTCTCATGGTGCCCAGAACCTGGCACATACTAGACATGTGCTCTGACACTTGAGTCATCCCGGCCCAGAAAGATGGATTAAAAACCCATTCAAGGGGTTGGAGTGGTAGCACAGCAAGTAGGGCCTTTGCCTTGCACGCGAACGATCCTCTTGATTCCATATGGTCCCCCGAGCACCACCAGAAGTAATTCCTGGGTGCAGAGCCAGGAGCAACCCCTGTGCATCACTGGGTGTGACCCAAAAAACAAACAACAAAACAAAACCAAACCCATGTAGATCTTAACCTTTGCAGTAAAACTTTCTAGCTCTTGATTGTTGACTCCAAAACCCACCTGGCTTCTGCCGCACTCAGCAGCAACCAGAGGAAGTCGTTTCACATCCTGTCACCTTGGGCTCGAGATCGCAGTGCAAAGTCAGGACTTACGGCCTAGCATAGCCCCTCCTGGGCCTCCTCTTCCTTCTCTCCACTTGATCCTTCTGTTGTGGGTTCTCTGGTCCCCTTTCTGCTCTTGCCCCAGGACCTTCGCACCTGCTGGCCTCTCTCTCCTGGGACACCATCGCCAGAAGTTTGCATGGCTCCTGCCCTCACTCCTCTTAGTCTTTACTCACATCTTTGGGGCAAATCTGTTTGTTTAGTTGGTTGGTTGATTGTTTTGTGAACCACACCCAGCAGTGCTCGGGGCTCACTTCTGACTCTGTGCTCAGGGATCCCTCCTGGTGGTGGTGAGAGACAGTATGAGGGGCTGGGGATCAAACCTGGCCAAGTGCAAGTCAAGTGCCTTCCCCACTGGCTTGTCTCTTGTGCCCCTGGGTGAATCTCTGTTTTCTTTCGTTTGCAGGGCTGGGGATGGAAGGCAAGGGGCTGCCCGTGAGCTGCAGGCCCAGCCCACACCTCCCATTCTTAGAAAGACTTGCCCTGTGCCACAGGGAGCAGCAATCAGACCTCCCCCGCCGCCCCCACCTCTCACCTCCTCTTTGCCCTTCCCCCTCCTGCACCCTACTCATGGCAGATGGGCTGTGTCTAGCGTCCCCGAGGGCCCAGGTCTAGAGTGGCGGCTGTGAGCGGCCAGCCCATTCCCCACAGGCAACCTCCCTGAGGGAGGCACTCTGGGAGGAGGCTGGCACAAGGGGTGCCACTCAGCTGGGGAGGTACAATCTAACTGTGCCAGGTCCCAAGGGTGATGACTCAGACCTGATGGGACAGCACTGGGACCGCTTGACTCTGGCCTTGGGCTTTGTGTACATAACGTATGTGACTGTTTCTGGGTCTCAGGGGGGATCTTGGCGGGGCGGGGCGGGGGACTTTTCCCACAAGGTAGGAAGGTCTGAAACCAAAGAGGAAATGAGTCACATCGGACCACATGAAAATTAAAATTCAATGTATGTAAATTGATTCCAAATACAAAATCAGAGATACGAATGATCCTTGAAGACATTATGCTAAGTAAGATAAGCCAGAGAGAAAGAAGAAATCCTGCGTGATCCGGGCTCCATCGCCGGCAGATGCAGAGATGGGGGCGGGGAACTGGGGGAGGGGAGCAGGACTTGGGATTTGGGGGTCAGAGAGCATCGGAGCCTGGGTGCTGACTTCTGGCTCCTTCAGGCCCTCTTGGACGTGTGATGCAGGTTCAGTCAAGGTGGACGCCAGCCACAGCGCCCCTAATGAGGCCCCCACACTCCTTGGCTCGGGCGCGGGATTAGAGCTACGCTGACCACTCGTGGCCAGCCTGGCGGCGAGGGCGGGTGGCAGGGGCTGAGTGGGGAAGGGAGGAGGACCACTGGCCCCGCCCCCCGCCTCCCTTCTCAGCTGCTTATTCTTCACCCCCATTTTCCGCTCACCCCTTCAGTCCCCTTGCACATGTCGGGGGCCTGGAGCTGGAGCACACGTGTGTTCTCAGGTGCTGTGGGGCTTTCTGCTGTAATCTGCTTTCGGCTAAAACAGGACTTGATCTTCGGTTAACCCTAATCATCAATTAGGTCCAGATGGCGGCGACCCCTGCCTCCCCCTTTGGCACCTCGCCTCCCTCCTCGAGAGTTTGGGGGAGACACAGGTGTCCTTCTGCGCCAGGGTGGGCCCTTCTCCCCTGCACCCCCACTTCAGGTCCACAAGGACTTCCCCGCAACATGGCAGCCCGTTTGGGTGCTGTGTTGAGGAGGGCCTGGGTGGCCGGGGCCTAGGGCAGGTCCTTCCATCCAGCACCTCTGACTTAGTGTCTCTGAGCTGGGAGGGACGCCCAGGCCGGAAGTGCTGCAGCGTCCAGGCCTCAGGGCAAGCGCCGTGTCTGTGCGCACGTGCCATGAGGCCATGGAGCTTCTCGTCGGCTCAGCCTGGGCCGTGGAATTCTGGCGCATCCGCTAATTCTATTTTTACTTCTTTTTGAGGAATTGCCAAACTGTTTTCCAGAGCGGCTGTACCATGACGATCTAATTTTAGACAATTTTTTATCCCCCACAAAGGGTTCCCTGTGCCTGAGAGTCACTCGCTTCCCTCCTGTCCTGGGCCCCCATGCATCTGCTGTCTTCGTGTCAGCGGGGTCACATGCCAGCGACTTGGGTAGGAGTATCCCCGTTTTCCGGTGGGAACTCCTACCCCAGGTCGGGGTCCCTTTCACTGTGAGCCTGCCCCGCTTCCTTCTGCCCCAGGGCTTCATCTGTGCTTGGGAATGACACATTTCTGTCTTCTAGGCTGACACCTGCTGTAGCCAGCCTAGCTGCTGTCCCCTGGCGTTGCTTCCCTTCCTAGCAGACCCTGGGCCTGGCCCCTTGGCTCTGGCTGGCACTGACTACAGGTGCCAAGCTGGGGCTCCCAGCAGTCAGCCGTCATCAAGGCTTTCCCTCTGCGCCTTCGACCAGCCTCCCCGGGCAGGCCCAGAGGCCAAAAGGGAGGCCCAGACCCGGATCTGGCTCTACTGAGCTGATGGCCAACCCCAGGGCAGTGCCCAAAGGCGCTAGGCGGGATCTGGTGGAGGGGGTCTGGGGTCCTGAGTCTAGAAACAGACAAGGCTGACGGAACACTGGCCAGGGCAGGAAACTCTCAGGGAACCGGGATGAGGGAGACAGCAGGATGCCCTGGGCCACCTCCCAGGTCACTGCTCCAGCCTGTGCACCCACTGAAGCGGGTCCGGGCGCTGGACCTGCCTCGCCTCCTGACCGCCACCTCTAGGGACTCCCAGGAGCAGGTGGGACTAGGGGGCACGTCGCCCATCCCAACCTTGATGTACAAATCCTGACTATGGGCCCCACTGGGCCGCCAGCGGAAGGGCCGGTACGCAGGCCAAGGCTCCAAGCCTAGCTCCCGGCAAATCCGCCTGAGCTGCCCTTGCAGGCCTCGGGAGCCAGAGGCCAGCAGGGAGAGGGACCGTCTAAGTCGGGGCCCAATTAAGAGATGAGATGATGGAGGGTGGGGAGCCTTGGGGGCAAGGAGCCCGGGCTGAGCCTGTAGGCCGTATAAAGCGGGTGCCGCAGCCGCGGGCACGCTCAGCCATGGCTCAGCAGCGAGGCCCAGAGGACAGCACCCAGCACAGCATCTTCACCTTCACCAACAGCAATGCCACCCGAGGTGAGGGCGCGCTCTCCCGGCGCGGCTCCCCTGATGAGGTGGGGGCCCCTTCTGAAGAACGACGGGGCCTCTTGGGAGCGAGTGGTGCCTTCGATCCTAGACTGTTCATCTGCCCTCTGTTGAGTTGCACTGCCCCCAGCCCCCGGGAGCCAGAGTGATGCTTCAGGAGGAGGCCAGGGGCGCAGGCAGGAGGCTGGGGCGCTCGGGGGCGGGAGGTGTCAGGAGACACATGCTTCCCGCTGCAGTGGTGTCTCTGGGCTTCTGGTGGAAAGCCCCGAGGATCACTCTGCAACCACAGCGCCAACGTGCCTGTAGACACACAACGGGGCCCTCTCTGGACCCGGCCTTGTGGGTTACCCCAATTCCTTTGGCCCCCTTTGCGCGTTTGTTCCCAAAGCAGAGGGCAGAGCGTAACGGGCCGCGGGTGGGCCGTGAGGACGCCCTCAGCATTTTGGCAACTACTTTGCTCGCAGACACCCTCTTCAGCCCTAGAGAAGGGGCCCTGCTTCTGCCACCCCTTCCCAGCTGTGCTTCTGTGACGCGCGCATGGAGCCCGAGCACTGCTAGCAGCCCACTGGACTTGTCATGGTCTCTGTCCCCATCCTCGCCCACTCGCTGGGCTACTTAGAGAAAGTAGTGCCGGCCCCTTTATACATGGGCGTCCCTGGGGGTGCAGTACGCATGCGAAGGACTTCCCTTGGCTGGTCCCCATTTCACAACAGTGACACATTGGCTCTGACTCCCGCGCCCTGCTCGCCACCACTGCTGAGACTGTCACTTGTCCTCTGTCACCTCAGCTCAGCACAGACTCCGTGGCCCTGAGCCCCGCCCCCACCCCGCTTGCTCACTGCAGCACGGTGTCTGACACACCAAGTGCCGTGCCCGGAATCCAGCTGTTTTCATTTGTTTTGGGGCTCTTGCTTCTGACGTTTTTCTGTGACTTTGTAATTATGTGATAAAACGTTTCCAGAGCTCCAGATGAAGCTCTAGAAACCTAGGTATGTGCGGGAAGTCTTGTCTCTGCCTGGGCCCACGCACTTCCTCCCTCCTGCTCTTTCTTCCAACCCTGCAGCTTGGCTGAGCGGCCCTTCTGCTGCCTGGTGAAACTCGGCTGCAACTTGGCAGGAACGGCTGGCCGTGCCCCTCCTCTGGGGCCTTCCACACCCTGAGCACCCCTGGCCCGCCCCCAGGGGCCTGTCTGGGAAGCAGTCTGGCTGCTCCTCCAGAGGCCTGGGAAAGGCTGTCGGCAATTCGGGCTTCCCAGAGCTCCCTGCAATGGGGCAAGTGAGGACCAGCCCCGACGGAGGGAACCTGAGTTTGGCTTTGACTTCTGCTGGCCATGGGTGGCAGGCTACGGCTGGCATCCTGCTCATCAAGGGGTCGCAGTGTGACAAGGAGGCACTGCCCCCCCTTGTCCACTGGCTGCTACCAGCAACAGAACAGTGCCTCCCCCAACCAGGTGGCACAGGTCTCGGTCCAAACCCACCCCTTTCTGTAGAGGCCGCAGCTTGTTCAGGGGCCAGGGGCCACTCCTCAAGTTCCATGTCCCTTAACACCTCAGCCACATCCCGAGCGTCACAGATCCCCCTTTTTATAGGGAATCTTGTCTTTTTTTCCTTTCTAAACGGTATTGAATTTTTTATTGTGCTACACAATGCTATTAATCATGGTTTCTCATGCACATAATTCCGACACCACACCCATCACCTGTGTACCCCTCCCTCTCTCATGAACCCCAAGACTCCCTCCCTCTAGACCCCCCCTCATTGTGTGGCTCAGTTCTCCCATCTGTGGCCTTGGGCTCTTGGTTGCTCCGTCGCTGTGTGTCTGTGAGCCATTCCGTGTCTGTCTGTCTCCTCCCGACTGACTTCACTCGGCACGAGTCCTTTACTCACCCTGTCTTATGGGGTGAAAGCCCAGCCTAAAGGCCTAATTGTACATTAGTCCCCCGTTTGGACCCTGCTTCCAAATAGGTTCATATTTTCAGGCCTTGGGGGTTACTGATATCTTCCGGGGGACACGATCAACCCATGGTGCATTCATTCGGTCACTCCTTCATTATGCGTTGAGTATGCGTTGTGCCGTGGGAGAGAAAGGAGCGATCCCTGGGGAGGAAGATGGGGTACGCCAGCAGTGAAGGGGGTGGGGGCCTATGGGCATGGCATCAGGGCCCCCCAGGGGTCCAGGAGGCTCTCAGCTGGGCCTTCTGGAAGGAGAATGGCAATGCAGAAGGGAAGAGTGGGGATGGATGCTGGCGCGTGGGAGGGGAGCAGCAAAGGCTCGGAGCATGGGGTTGTGAGTGGGCAAATGTCCCGCTCTGTCCCTTCTGCCCGCAGGCCCCTTTGAAGGCCCCAATTACCACATCGCTCCCCGTTGGGTGTACCACGTCACCAGCGCCTGGATGATCTTCGTGGTGTTTGCCTCCGTCTTCACCAATGGGCTGGTGTTGGCAGCCACCATGCGCTTCAAGAAGCTGCGACACCCTCTCAACTGGATCCTCGTCAACTTGGCTGTGGCCGACCTGGCAGAGACCCTCATCGCCAGCACTATCAGCGTCGTCAACCAGGTCTCCGGCTACTTCGTGCTGGGCCACCCCCTGTGCGTGCTGGAGGGCTACACAGTCTCCCTGTGCGGTAAGCCATGTGCTCCGGTGGCAGTGCTCCGAGGATTCTGCTTTCTGGCTGAGCAAGAGCCCCGTTGTCAGCTGCCTGCACCTGCAGAGCCCCTTGGGAGAGAACCTGGTCCTGGGCGGGAGAGGAGGCTCCAGGCCTCCCGGCGTTCTCTCTGGAGGCGCAGCTTCCTCTCCCTCCACTAACTTCCTCTGTCCACGGGCCAGTTCTGTGCATGATGCGCAGGCTGCAGTCCCAAGTCCTGTCTACGGGGGCCTATCCCTGGAGTAACCCCACGAGACCACCCTAATAGGATATGAACCCCAGGAGTGTGCGAGGAGGGTCAGGTACCCAGGAGCACGGACACAGGGTGGCATGCGTCTGTGATGTGCGGGTGCCAGCTGCCTCTCAGAGGCTCACCCAGAAGAGGGCAGGAAGGACACAGAGAGGCAGGGCTTCGTGTAGACCCGACATCAGACCCCTGAGGCTCACGCCTTCTCGGTCTCCTTGGCAGTGGCTCACGGCCACTGGGCATGGTGCTGGACGTTGTGGGTCCGTCTCCCTCGGGCTCCACTGGACATGGAGCTGAGGCTTGCAGGTGCCCTGGATTGCAGGCACTCAGTGGCTGTCTGAGCATATTTTAGTCAGGGTGCCTTGCTAGAGAGCACTTTGTCTTCAGGTGCCATAGGTCAGTGGCGTCCTCAGACCTCTGGGGACCTCTGTGGGTGCTGCCGAAGCTGAGGCCCCATCCCAGGAAGCGGACACAGTAAAATATTGCATTCTGCTGGTGACCGTGTCCTGCATGGAAATATTTGTATTGAAAGTATTGAGTATGTTCTGGTTTCGCTGGTCTGGGGGCCACACCTGGTAGCTACCCCCAGCTTGGTGCTTGAAGCGAGTGAAGCGAGCACTCTCAATAGTGCCAGGACCCTCCCCACCGTCCTATCTCTCCAGCCCCTCGCCCACACACTTTCTCAGGTGCCGGATTCCTTGAAACCGGGATCTCCCACCTGCCCTTTCAACCATCCCCCTAACCCTGCTGTTGAAGGTGTCTGTGGGGGGCATCTGGCCTGGCAGGCACTTCAGAGCACAGTGAGATGGGGCACCTGGTCGCCATGGAGATACACAGGGGCCATGAGCGTCCTGATATCCGCGCATGGGCCTTTGGGGTTCCAGAGCGCAGGAGCAGCTGGAGGGGGGCCGTGGGCTGGGGGTGGCTACCAGATCCTACAGCTATACACGGCCTGGTGGGAGGCACATGGGGCACAGACTCCTGCCTGCTCGTGGGGTGTGTGGCATGTATGGGACCACGGGGGTGCGGGCGGTCTCCGGAAGTGGAACTCCCTGCCACACTGGCCTTGAGTTCCACCCCAGTGGGAAGATGATCGACAGTACGGGGAGGCGAGAGGACACCAGCGGGGGTCGGCGCTGGGAAACAGGGTAGGCAAAAAGGCCTAAGCCAAGCCAAGCCCAAAGGGAGACCCCTGAGAATCAGGTGGGAGGAAAAGAAAGTGGCCAAGTCACCTGCCCTGGACACACTGCGGGAAAAGGAGGGTTGGTGGGAGGGAGGAGCCGAGGGGACACCTGTTTGTCCTCCAGGTATCACTGGTCTCTGGTCCCTGGCCATCATTTCCTGGGAGAGGTGGCTGGTGGTGTGCAAGCCCTTTGGCAGCGTGAGGTTCGATGCCAAGTTGGCCATCGTGGGCATCGCCTTTTCCTGGGTCTGGTCAGCTATCTGGACGGCCCCACCCATCTTTGGTTGGAGCAGGTAAGGCCGCTGCCAGCGTTCAACTTGTGGGTGAGCGCTGGGCAACCCTTCCCTGTGTGCTGCTAGTGAGGAGCGCTGGGGTGTAGCCTGGCCCCCAAGTCCACTCCCAGGAACTCGCCGAACAGTCTGAGGCTGCTGGGGTGGTGGAACTCTGGGGCACTGTAGACCCTCTGAGCCCTGACCCAGCACCCAATTCATGACGATGTGGCTCAGCTGCTGGGCGCAGAGTCCAGGCCAGGCTGCATTTGGCTCTGTTTGCTGCAAGCCCATGACTAAGTTCTCACAGTGTTTCAGCGGCATCTTTCCTCAGGAAACATCCATCATTCTGGGAAAGCAGCCCAGGGAAGGCCTGTCTCCACACCCCTCAACGCCCGCCTCGAGGTGTTACCTAACCTGGGAACATGCCGCCAGAGGAGGCCAGAGCTGGGGGCAGCCCCATCTGACCCTCATGTCCACCCGCAGCAAGTCCATCTGCCTTGCCTGCTTCCTAGCTTGTCAGCTTTTCCCAGTCGGTGCCACTTTTGTCCCAGAAATTCTTTGTTTTGGGGTCACAATCGGCAGTGCTGCCGAACTACTCCTGACTACTCAGGAGACTATCTGCGGTGCCGGGGATCAAACCCAGGTTGGCCATGTGCAAGGCCAGTGCCTTAACCCCTGTCATTTTCCCTCAACTCTGGATCTAGAGGTAAGAAAATAGGTAGAGAAATCAAACCCGTGCTGCTAGTAAAGTCTAAAGAAACCACATTTTTGTTTTTCTTGGGCCACAGCAGTGGAGCTCAGGACTTACTCCTGGCTCTGTGCTCTGGGATCCTTCTTGGTGGGGTTCAAGGGACCATAATGGGGTGCCGGGGGGTCAACCCCGAGTCAACGGTGTGCAAGGCAAGCAAGCACTTTACCTGCTGCACTACGTCTTCAGTCCCAAGAACTGAGCCTGAAGAAATACGCTGGTATGTGGCTGTGAGCCCCGGGAAAGTCACTGCTGTCTGGCTGACCTCAGGCATAAAGAGATCTTAGACAGAGCAACTGGGCGCCTCACTGTCTCTTGGTAAAGAGCAGTTCAGTTTGGGTGATAGAACATTCTGGAAACATTTTGTGAGTGTACTAAATGCCTGTGGTTCCATCCAAAATGGTTCATAATGCCTTAGTGCACCTGGGCTGGGCATTCCGTGGCGTCCCCACCGAGGATCAGCATGGACTGTGGGCCCTTCTTCCCAGGTACTGGCCCCATGGCCTGAAGACTTCATGTGGCCCGGATGTGTTCAGTGGCGACTCGTACCCCGGGGTGCAGTCTTACATGATTGTCCTTATGATCACTTGCTGCATCATCCCACTCGGCGTCATCCTGTTCTGCTACCTGCAAGTGTGGCTGGCCATCCGCGCAGTAAGCCCCATGCCCTCACCTGCCAAACCAATGCGAGCCCCTGCATCCCACTCCTTGGACCCATGCCCCTACCCTCCAGAGGGGCCTCCAAGGCAGTTTATGCTGTTTCTAGGGGGCACCAGGTCCTTAGACCTGGCTGGGCACACCAAGGAGGACTCCATGTATGTGCCCCATCAGACTACTGTGCACAGCACCCTATTTCCTGCAGGCTGGCCGGCCACTGGGTGCCCTCACGCCCGGGAGAGTGGGATGGGCTGCTGGCTGTGAACTGTCCCTTCGGCTGTTCGCCTACAAGGGGCTCAGCACAAAGGAGCTGTGTGTCCCATCACGGGCCTTTGCTGCAGGCAGCTGGCAGCAATCGGATCACCACGCGCATAAAGAGCTTTCTAGAAAGGAGGCCAAGGCTTGAGATAAACCCCCTTTCCTCCTGGCTTGCAGCTGGGCGTGGCTCAAGGTTAAGAACCAACTTCGGGCTCCCAGCGCAGACAACGTGCTCTGCCACGGGGCCAGGCCAGGCAGGGAACAGCATCCTGGGCGCCTTCCTAAACTCACACGGGGCCCACCAGGCATAAGCGCCTGTGATACCCCAGCAGCTGTGTGCCACCTGTGAGCCCACATGTCCCACCCAAACGCACAGGGCGGCAGACTTCTGCCTGGCTGGGGTCCTGAGCCAGGCCCTTCTCTCCAGGATGGGCCCTCCCCGGCCCTCGCGATCCGCACAGAGCAGCCTCCCCAGGGCCCCAGAAATGGCTCTTCATCTCCCCCAGGTGGCCAAGCAGCAAAAGGAATCCGAGTCCACCCAGAAGGCGGAGAAGGAGGTGACGCGCATGGTGCTTGTGATGGTCCTGGCCTACTGCTTGTGCTGGGGGCCCTACACCTTCTTCGCCTGCTTCGCCGCCGCCCACCCTGGCTATGCCTTCCACCCTCTGGTGGCCGCCCTGCCAGCCTACTTTGCCAAAAGTGCCACCATCTACAACCCCATCATCTATGTCTTCATGAACCGGCAGGTAAGATTCCCCGCCTTGATTGGGCCGACTAGAAACTGGCCTGGCAGAGCCCCATGGTGGCCTCTGCCTGAGGTGGTGGGCAGGGACACTCTGTAGCCGACCCTTCGTGCATCCTCTCGGGAACAGAGTCAGGCTGGGGCTCCCCTCTCGAGGGCCCACCAGTGTCTCCATCAGCTGCAGCAGTTGGAGGGCAGCTGTCATGAGCCGCTATGCCGGGCCCCAGCAGAGACCCGAGATCAGAGCAGATGCAGCCTGCATGTCCCCTTGCACCTTGACTTGCCTTAACTTCCCCACCGCGCCACGATCAAGGCTATTCCCCTACCCCAGAGGCGCTTGCCATCTAGCCCAACCCCCAAGGGGAGATGCACACTGATCTCTCTTCCTGGAACATTCGGAGAGAATTTTCTGGAAGGAGCTCCAGGGAAATATGCACTTCCAAGGGTCAGGGGATCCCTTGGAAGGAATGTGGCCGCAACCTTGTCAGCAGCCCTTTGGCGCCCCCACTTCCCGTTTTTTGGGGTTATGGATGACAACAATCACGTTCTTGTTTGGGGGGGCACTGTGGATGGCGGGAGCTATAGGCAGTGGGGGAGTGCCCCTGGTGCTCGCCATGGAGTGGGGGTCAAGCTGTAAAGAGTGGGTGCGCTTGGGACCAAGTACGTTCTAGGTGAAGGGTTGTACGGGGAGCTAGACCACTGGCCCCCAAGTGCACAGAAGCCCGAAAACAGCAGGCACCTCCGCAGCCCAAAGCCTCGGGCTCGCTTCCGTCGGGAAACCAGGCATGGGCTCTCGGCTCTCGTTTCTGTGCTCACTGTGTTAGTTCCCTGGGCTGTCTTATAAACCAACCCCCTGCTGCTGGGGGGCTTGAATCAGAGACCAAGGGAGAATGGGACCCTTGCTCCCAGGTCTGGCAGAGGGGGGTGCTGCCGGCTGCCAGTACCATTCCACCGAAAGTCACTCATGCCCCCTGCTGTCAGCTCCCACCATGCGCTCCCTGCATCTTCGCAGACTCCCTTCCCTCGCACACAGCTCGGCTCGGGCCCCACTTGCCCACAGCTCGGGAAGGCCGAACTAGTCAGGAGGGGTCTACCCCGCCTCCCCACCACACTGCCCTGCCCAGCTCCCAGCCCCTCCCCCACCCGCCAACTCATCTCCTGTCCTGTTCCTCCAGTTTCGGAACTGCATCTTGCAGCTTTTTGGGAAGAAGGTGGATGATGGCTCAGAGCTCTCCAGCGTCTCCAAATCGGAGGCCACATCCGTCTCCTCTGTCTCACCTGCCTGAGCCCCGCAACTCCACACCACAGGGTCAGCCACCTACCAGCCCCTGAGCCCCCGCAGCGCCCACCCTGCCCCACCTGTCCTTCTCCACCCCTCAAAAGAAATGGCAAGGATCCAGCACGTCTGCGAGGTGGCCACAGAGTTTGGGGGCTTGAGCTGCTCTTTTGTCCCTGAGTTCAGGGGCTTCAGGGCCGAGACTTTGCTCTGCAGGCCCCACGGGAGGAGCTGTGCTGCCGTGGGCTGATGCCTGCTCGGCAGAGCCCTGGGGTCCCTAGAGAAGAGTCTCCAGAACCCCGAGTGCCAGCAGGCGCACAGGTGCGGGCTCAGCTGCTGGAAAGAGACACCCGCAGAGAATGTGAGCACCAGCCTCAGCACGCAGGGATGAGCACTTGCTTTGCAGTTTGCTCAAGTGGCTCTGCGAAGTCTCGGCCTCCTGTGGAAACAAACCCCAGTGCTGGTTGGGGTCAGAGGGGGCTAAAGGCACTGCGGGGGGTGGACAAGAGCTGACCAAGGATAGGGACTCCGGGTACCAATTTTCCCAGGAGGGAGCCCTTCTCACCACACTCACCAGCCCAGCTCGTAATGGTTCCCTGGTGTCTCTCAGATGCCTGGAGACTTGCGGCAGTGTCTCCTCCTGACCTGCTCACCCAGATCTCCCTGGCCCTCTCGTGCGACAGATCCATCATGGTCTGCTCGGTCCACACCAAGGTCTGTCCGCAGCACAACATCTCCACGCAGCCCTGCAGGTGCTGACCTGCCCATCCTCCACTGACACTTGTGCCCAGGTGGTTTCTGGGGACAGAGACCAAAGCGGGTGTCCCGAGTCTCCCTGTACCAGCTCATGTGTAGCACACACGGGTTCAGACCCCAACTTCCTCCCCCGTCTCCAAGATGCGGTGTGCCTGCCACCTTCTGGGCAGCATCAGCCCGAGATCCTTTCCCCCAACTGCTCTTCTGTAACCGTCATCGCACTAGACCCCCAGCTGGATTCCCTTCCACATAGCCTCAGCATCTGTGGATGACAGGAACAGAGCCCGGAGCGGGCCTGGAGTGAGCCTGGAGCTGTTCCGGACGTTCCATGGGGCAGTGCACACTCTGAGCACGCAGTGGGTACGAGAAGGGGTGAATTTCAGGGCCGGCAATGAAGCTTAATAAACCTGGGTTACTCCCACAACTTGCACAGCATCTGGAAATGAGGTTTTGGCTGGGCATGGGGCCAGGTGGTTTCTGGGGGCGAGTGGGTAGAGGGCCCGGGGCCTCCTTGCCTCCGTACAAAGCCAGCCCATGTGAGCTTGCTTGCAAAATCGAACAGTGACTGCAAACAGGTCATCACGAAGAATCCAGGCAGGCTGCGCCCTTCTCTCTGCCCCCCTTGGTCAGAAGCATTGTCACGCGGTAGGAGGCACCTCAGTGGGTGCCCCTGAGTTCAGTCACAGTGGCAGAGGGGCTTGGCTGGCAGCTGAGGCACTGGGTGTGGTAGCCCAGTGGGACACCAGGTCCTGTGCCCAGGACTGACTGACACCCACACAGAAATGTTCTCCGGGGCCCTAAGATGCAAAGTGGTCATTTGCCAAAGTCCCTTGTCCACGGCTGATTCCTAAGAGCTTTGCAAGGAATATTCCAGTAGTGAGGACCCTGATACTAGCCAAGGAGTGTGGATGGTCACAGCTCTGCCCAGAGACAGCAGATGAGGCCGGGCTGGCTCAGAGCTGCAGAGAGTGCCGGGTGCCAGCACACCGCCTTTTGCCACATGCTGCATGCACTTAGTTCTGTCAGATTTCCGTGGGGATCATCTCTGTCTCTCCTTAGCTCAGAGATCCCCTTGCTCCAGCACCCCTCTCTGGACAGTGCTCTGACCAAGACAGAGCGACAGTGCTCAGCACCCCCCAGCATCCTCCAAGTTGTGACGGCTTTGTTACTGCTGCGGAACATCAGACGCTGCCTGGGTCTGAGCAAACAACGCACGTGCTGGGTGCCAGGACAGCGGTGGGGACCTCAGGGGAGGCTGTGGCAGCAGGCACAGAGGGGGCCATGACAGGGACAGACAGTCAGGAGGCCACAGGAGGGTTCCAAGTGTGACACCCGCGCCGCAGAAGGCACAGCCAAGCAGCGAGCACAGCGCTGCTGCTGGTGTCAGGGTGAGGTACCCCGGGCCGAGGGAAAATGAGGGACAGGGAGACAAGAGAGAGCGCCAGCAGGCAGGCCTGGCCCTGGGGGGTAGGACAGGGCCACTGGAGGGACCTAGGAAGCTGGGGACGTGAATTGCTGAAAGGCTGGGGACCTTCTTGCAGCTGCCTGGATAAGTCATCTGAAAGGAGCAAAGAGAACAAGGCAAAGCTGATGCCGCATCAAATCAGCCTGGGGGTTCGGCACAAAGGCCCACCTTGCAGCTATGAGGGCCATCCCCGGTCATGCCCCCAGGAGCGGAAGCCGGCCCAAGTGTGCCCTCCAGCTGTACATCGTAGCACAACAACCAAAGGCATGCAAACGAACCCGTGCAGCCCACTTGGCTATGTGCACAACTCTTGTGTGCGCCTTGAAAGCTGAGGGCCTGTAGGTCCACACGCATGAGAACATTCGAGAAGGGGGTCCATCCCAGAGACATGTGAGAAATCCTCTACACCCTCCAGTTCCCCCAGTTCTTGTGCTCCCAGGCCCCCACCTCGGCATTTGTGCTGGTCATGAAAATATCTGCTGGTGGGCTTCCAGCCCTTGATGGCTCCAACAGGCATCACACATGCAGCTGAGGCCCCTGTGGAACCGAGGTGCTTGCCTCCTTCCCACGGTCGTGTTCTAGGCGTGCTGAAAATCGGGGCTCCTCAGTGTGGCCGCCGGAAGGCTTCCCATCACACCATAAGCACCAACTGGAGACAGTTGGGGTAAGGCTGGCACAACCCCACATGGAGGTCCCAGAGGACCAGGGCGGCACGTGCCCCTTGCTGGGCGCTCCTGTAGATCACAGTAACAGCAGTCTGTGGCATGGGGTGGGGCGCCCTGGCAGTCATTTCCAGGCTCCTGATGCTGGGCCGCACCAGGCTGGGGGAGAGGATTGGGGGAGAGGGTAGCTCCAACCTCAAAGAGGTCCCCATCTGATGGACACAGAGCTGAGTGGCCCCACCACCATCCTACTTCCTGCAGGAAGAATTGAGTTATGGATCTAGAGGGACTGTCCAGCCTGAGGGTGCCTCCTTGCACATACTCACCCTGGGTTCGATCCCCGGCATCCCATATGGACCCCCAAGCACCGCCAGGAGTAACTCCTGAGTGCTTGAGCCAGGGGTAAGCCCTGAGCACTGCCAGGTGTGGCCCCCAAACAAAAACAATAAATGCAAAATGTTTAAAAAGGAAGGAAGGGGGCTGGAGCAATAGCACAGCGGGTAGGGCGTTTGCCTTGCACGTGGCCGACCCGGGTTCAATTCCCAGCATCCCATATGGCCCCCCGAGCACCGCCAGGAGTGATTCCTGAGTGCAGAGCCAGGAGGAACCCCTGAGCATCGGCTGGGTGTGACCCAAAAAGCAAAAAATAAATAAATAAATAAATAAATAAAAGGAAGGAAGAATCAAGGCATGGCCGCAGGGAAGCCCCAGCTGGAAGCGCCTCCCGCCTCTGCCTCCTGCCTGGGTCTCCAGTGACAGGTGAAAGTCTGACAGGCTTTGGTAGGACGCCTGCAGGTCAGAGTGCAGCTTCGTGACCTCCTTCAGCTCCTCCTCCATCTTCTGTAGCATCTGCCGTCCCGCCGGGCCAGCTGCACCCTATCCAGGGTTTCGGTCCCTTACACAGAATGGTCCTGGAGCCTAAGGCCTGTCACACAGGTCATGTCTGCCCCTCCTCTTGGCAGGCTCGTGCATCTGCAGACTGCCCTGAGGCCAGCCGCAGTCCTTCAGCCCGTGGAGCTGCTGGTGGCACAGACGGAGGCAGCGCTCAACGTGGGCAATGGTGGCAGAGGCGCGCTGGTTCACCTTCTCGAAGGCCCACCTGATGGGAGGCGCCTGGTGCTGGTCGGCTCTGGATATGAGCTTCAGGTAGTCCATGGTGTTTTCGTCTCCTCTCGCAGCTGCTCTGAGAGGTGGAGGGTGCAGTGCTTGAGGCTGTCCTGCAAGTCCCAGGGCTGCCGTCCCTCTAAAACTCTGCGGCCATCCTCACTGGGTGCCGGGCACTTGCACGATGGGGTCCGGGCACGTGGGCCCTTGGTGCAGGCCTTCTGCAATGGGACACAGGAAAACAAATAGTGGGAGTGGCCAGGCTATGGGTTCAGTCAACAGAAAGGTGCCCAATGCGTATTTGCATATGGAGAAGAGCGTTATTCCACCCTTTCAGGAGTGCCCTCTCCGATCCTGTGTTCATGAGAAAGCGCCTCATACCCTACCTTATTCTCCACAAAGGGTTAAATCATCTTCCGCTCACCTGATCTCTGCCTTCTCCCTAATGTGAACTATGTGTTTTGTGTTCAGTAGGGAGCCAATCACAGCCGAGGGAAAAGTAACAAGAGGCCTGAGCGTCTGTCAATGGCATTAGGCAGGCCACTGAGAGTCTACGCTGCCCAGCGGTATCTTCTGTTTGCTTTTTTTTTTTGCTTTTTGGGTCACACCTGGCGATGCACAGGGGTTACTCCTGGTTCTGCACTCAGGAGTTACTCCTGGCGGTGCTCAGGGGACCATATGGGATGCCGGGAATTGAACCCGGTTCGGCCACATGCAAGACAAACGCTCTATCTGCTGTGCTATCTTTCCAGCCCTGGTATCTTCTGTTCGAAAGGAACCGGCTGGAGGGCCCCAGTGACTTCATCCAGATCCCCCCTCCACCACCATAGTCTTCTCTCCCCCGCCCCTTCCAAAGAACCACCCCCAGTCTGAAAAGGAAGATGACTGGACTGGACAACAAGTGACCCTCTTCTCAGTTTGCTGACACCTGAAGAAGCTTGTTCTGCTCTCACTGACTCCTGTCTGTCATGTTTGGTCCGTTAGCAAGGAGCCACCAAATTGCTCAGTAGCAGATTTGGGCCAGGCAGCCTGGACCATCTGGTCCCTGGGGATAGGAGCGCTCAGCTAGGGCAGCCTCGGGACTTACCTGATCACATTAGCAGAAG